AGCCACAGACTCGCCTTGCAATCAAGCCACCATGGGCACCATTCCAAACTCACCAAGAACCAGTTTGCCTGGGTGCAATCTAGGCAGTGCCAAATATGTTGCTGCAGTTTTACCCGGCCACACTCAAGTTCTGGAAGTTTCACATCCTCCTTTCACTCTGACCCAACCCTCAGATTGAAACCCAGAGCCAAAACAAAGGCTCGGAGAAAAGGGTCAGACATTCTGATGGGCAGGTTGCTGTTCTGTTATAAGCACGGTAATGACAGAAGCCTTATACTAGCAGCTAACACCACAGGTAAGTTCTCCCCAGGTCTCCCCACCAAATGGGACTTGCAGTCTGCACGTATGCCTGGAATCTAGTCTCATCTCATAGGCAGTTAGAATATAACACTCAGAAAATTTGAACAGAAAAATCCTTAGACTATAGGATGTTAAAACATAGAACTTAGAACATCATAGCTGGAGGGCCCCTTAGACCACAGAATATTAGAATATAGAACGCATACTCTTAGAACATAGAAAGCTAGAGCTGGAAGTGACTTTAGAACATTGGATATTAGGCCAGTCATAGGCTCTACAGATCATCGAAGTCCAACTGCCTCATTCTACAAACAACAAAAGTTAGGCTCAGAGAGGAAAAATTACATAGTCAGTCACAGTCAGGGTCAGAGCTGGGACTAGAATCCCAGCCTCTGGACTCTCACATCCAAGGCTCTTTTCACTGTACCTCACGGTCAGTCACTGTCTTTTACTGCCCTTATGTGGCTGTTTGTTTTGTTTTCTCAAGTAGATTATAAACTCTTTGAGAGGAGCCACCAGATGCTATGTTCTGCTTACACGTCCAGAGTACTCAAGCCTCTCGTAGTCTGATACTCAATCGATACTCGGTTGGACTCCTTCTGCAGGCTCCAGTGTTGCCTACTGCTTGTCAAGCCGTTCTGGAGCCTGGCTCCTTCCCATCCTCCCTTTCCTGGATTCCTTCCCTCAGTAACCGTCCCCTCCCTCCACCCCCACAAGACACACCTGTCAGCTGGCATCTCAAGATTAGTTTCTCATTTGACAGTTCCTGGGCCCTTCTAGCCGAGGCAAAGGAAGTTTTGTTCTGGTGACTATACCACAAATGTTATGTAACCCCTTGACAACAAACAAATATGCATGACAGAGGGACATAAATAGAATCTTTTTTTTTTTAATCAGATCTGCCACTGTTCATTTCTAAAGAGAGTGGTGCTTAAAGTCAGAGGACAAGAGCAGATGGCTGTTCCTACCTGTGTGACCTTGGAGAGGTCAGGCCTCAGATTCTTATCTATCAAAGGGTTTGGAGGAAGGAAGGGTCACATTAAATGGCTTCTAAGGTCTCTTTTCCCTCTACATTTTCATATTCTAGGAAAGGTAATAACTGGTCAAGGCCCTAGAGACTGAAAAAGTTTCATATAGTTATCGTAATCCCAAAACCTGAATAACCACACGGAGATGTGTGCTGAATTAGGTAATAAGCATGCTGAATTAGGGAATCTTCAAGCATCCTGAAAGGAGAAAATGTCCTAGTAGAAGTTTCCTGAGTGAAATAAATAATTCTTTAGAGTTCAAATGTACTCTCCTGCGTACCAGCTATGTGACTTTGGGAAAAACAATTTCATTTCTCTGGGCCTCAGTGTCCTATTCTGTTAGAAATGAAGATATTAGGCTAGATTAACTGCACCCTCCCCCCACCCCCAAATTCTATAAACTCCAATTGTTCTTTATTACCTTTGGCTTTTAAAACCATTCACAACCTGGCTCCCATCTATTTTCCCTTCTCATGATGCATTACTCCTTTCACATCCCGTAGGGTCCAGTCAAGCAGGTCTTGCTGTTCCTCATACACAATCCTCCACCTCCCACCTCTGTACTTTCATATTCCTCATGCCTGGAATGCACTATGTCCTCATCTCTGCCTCTTAGAATCCCTAATGCCCTTCAGTTCAAGTGCCACCTTGTACATGAGGCCTTTCCCGATCCACCTGCCCCCCCCAGCTGCTCGTGCCTTCTGTTCAGTACAAAAGTGCACACACACACACCCACACACACACACCCCTATTATATAAACGTTTGCATATATGCATACATATGTATGTGTATACATATTCATATTCATGTAATTTTATTGCACAGGTTTATAGAATATTATATATGTATACATACATACACATACATATATACATCTATATCAACATGTAAATTTATATGTACACAGATTTCCCCCAATACAATGTGAGCTCCTTGGGGACAAGGACTATGTCCCTACCAATACCTAGCATAATATCTGGCACATAGTAGGGCTTAATAAACAATCTCTAAGGTCCCCCCCTCCACTCCAAATTCTACAATTCTAGGTGATCTTTTATGTCACTTCCAGATCTAAGATCCTTTGATTCTCCGTTAGGAGGCTGCGGGGAGCTGGGGAAGTTATGAAGTGCCTTTAACAAAGGGGAAGGGCCATGAGGGGGACAGATAAAACCAGACAGCAGATATCAAAGTGCTAACAGATTTAAAAGTGCTGTACGCGAAGGCCGATGGTCTCCCACACAGACTATCGTTACACAGTGTACTAAAAACATCGAGCGGTCCAGCATTTGACTGAGATCACAATGCACACACCCAACCCCCATCACCCTGGTAACCAACAGGAAACACAGGAAGGCCCACGTGGTATCAGGGAACACATACAATAGCAAAAGTCAGGAGGCCTGGGTTCTAGTCTTGGCTCTGCCACTCACAAGCTCTGTGTTCTTGGGATCACAGATTCAGTTTCAGTTGTGCCCGACTCTTCGTGATCCCATTTGTGGTTTCTTAGCAAAGATACTGGAGTGGTTTGCCATTTCCTTCTCTAGGTCATTTTACAGATGAAGAAACTGAGGCAAATAGGAAACTGAGGCCCAGGGTCACACAGTAAGTATCTGAAACTGGATTTGAACTCAGGGAGACGTCTTCGGCACATCAGGCCCAGCGCTCCATCCACTGCGCCAGAGCCACCAAGCGGCCCCCAGGACACACCACCTAATCCAAACCCTTTATTTTACAAATGAGGTGATGGAAGCCCAGAGAGATGCCCGTGGTCACCAAGGTGATCAAATGACAGGCAGGATGGAGCGGACCTCAGCCACATCATCAACAAAATGAGGGTGTAGAGCTAGTGCCCCTTCCGTCCCTCTGTGCTCCATTGTGGTCTGAGGTCTTTTCCAGTTCTAACACTCCATGGTCTTCTGGGTTCTAAGTTCCCTTCTCATTCTGATATCTTATGCAATAAATTCTGTGTTCTAGCTCCCTCCTCCCCCCAAGACACACACACACACACACACACACACACACACACGCACACACACACGCACACAAGAATTCCTACAGTACAATATGATGGCATGGATGTGACTCTGGGTTTTCAAAGGCTATGCCAGCAGAACACAAGTTTTTATACTCTTGTCAAGTTAAAACAACTGAATATGGACCTCAAGATGGGCTAAGTCTCTTTTCTGAGGCCTAGTCTAGCTAAATGCAAGGAGGTACAACACCAGGTGATGAAAATTTTTGGCCATAGCATCTCATGAAAAACCATCCCTGAGAGCACAGAAGGTTTGCAGTCTGCTTGGATGAAAAGCGCCCATGCCCCCTGCATCGAACACATTTTATGTGCAGTGGCTTCCTTCCAAAATCCTATGCTCTAAGGCCCTGTGCAATTCTAATATTTCACTGCTTCGTGTTTTATGGTCCTTTCCAGCTCTGATGTTGTGCTCTAACACTCTTGTGATCCTAAATGAATTCCTTGCCATTGGTAAGGTTAAGGTTGCAAGAGAGCTGTGCTGACAGATGGAGAGAAGGGAACCACTGTTTGGAAGCCGGAAGCAGCTATTCAGCTAAGCAACAAATTAAAGATTGCTCAACTCTGTTCAGACTAAGCCCTCTCCAGCCATGGGGGGAGAAGCCAAGCTAGTGCCCAGATACCTGATGTAAAAATAGAAAAAGGATGGAGAGGAAAGGGGATAAAAGAATGTGTTTACTTTTTCGATTGTCATATAAGTGGCTTTTAAAGGCATTAGAGTCATTCCATAAAACAGCAGTGACTGTTCCCCAACCGTCTCACCACTCATAAACCTGTCTGAACCAGTGCCCTCCCTGCAGGTCCGGTGCCCCCTGGGCACCTTCTATTGTGGCAGAACTAAAATAAGGATGGGGCAGTGGATAAGGCACCCAAGGTTGGTGGGGGGCGAAGGACAGGAACAGGAAAGATCACCGGACCTGGGTTTGGGTTTTGCCTCTGACCCCAAGGGCAGGAGCTGTTTTGTTTTGTTTTTATTTTGTTTTGTTTTGTTTTTAGTTTGCTTTTCTTTGCATCCTCTACATTAGGACAGTGACTGACACATTGCAAATTTTTAACGGATGCTTGTTGACTGACTGTATGATACCTGGGCAAGTCATGTTCCTTCTCTGGGCATCAGATTCCCTATCAGTAAGAAGACACAAATTCAAATCCTAATTTTTCTACTCACTACCTAGGTGACCTTGAGAAGCAAGATGCTGGGGAATGAACCCTAGATTCCAAAGACTTGGGTTTGAATCCCATTAAATTCTACTACTTGCTAACTTTATGACCCTGGACAAGTCACAGCCTTTCTGAGTCTTTGTAAAGTCATCTGTAAAATGAGAATTTTGGACTAGGTCCCTTCCTGCTTTAAATTCTATGACCCTATGCGACCTTAAAAAAAATTATATGACCTGTGATCATCTGAGTCCTGTCCAGCTTTCAGCTTCAAATCTCTAATGCTGTAGTAGTAGGGCTAGAAGGGACTTTAGAGATTGTCTAATTAGTGTGTCCTCATCCCCTCCCCTCTCACTACTCTTCTCTCTTCTCTGGGGAGGAGATGCAGTGATTTGGGATCTGCTTCAGGTCACAGCACTAGCTAGGTGAGGAGCGGGTGACGGGAAGGTAAACGTAGCAAATCATTCGCACTCATGCTGCCCACCTGGCCACCAGCTCACTCCTGGTCCTCGGCATTCTGGTGGGAATGAGAGAGACTGTCATTTGGGGTTGGGGGGAGGCAGCATTCTCAGACCACACAGCTGAGTCCTCTTTCTTTTCTAACCATCCAGCCTCAGTAGGTTCAGAGATTCCCAAGGAAAGGCAGAGTGAGGGTATACATTTGGCAGGCTGCCATAAACAGCAGGCAGGGAGATGGCTGTCCATCACTTCATGTCCATGAGTCACTCTTTCTGAGGTAAACAGCACGCAGAAAGTCTACCAGGAGGCAGTTTGTGGTGCAACAGGAAGAGGGCTGCATTTAGAGTACAGAGCGTTCAGTCTGAATCTCAGCTCCGAGGCTTTACTAGCTGTGAGACTCGAAGAAACGACTTCCCCTCTCGGGGCCTCAGTTTTTTCATTAGGCAAATGGGGATGTGCTACCATCCACATGAAAACATGGTAGGGGATTAAGTGAGGTGATGTGTCTGTAAAGAGCGCTGTCATTCTGAAGTGCTATGTAAATGGGACCTGTGAGTTTTGATTATCGTTGAATTGAAGTTTTTACTTGATTGTAGGATACTAAACCCAGAGCTGGAAGGGACGCCAGAGGCCAGCCAATCCAGCCTCTTCTCTTTACAGATGAGGTTTTTACAGGGGTTAAATGATTTCACCAAGGTCGTGTGGGTAGTAAGAGTCTGCGGGCACTTGAACCCAGCTGGACTTTTCCTCCCTCTTTCCATCGTACCACCATCGTCCCACGAAAAATTTTGGAATAAATAACTAATGGGAAATTGACAGTTTCCCATTAATAATAAATAACACTTTTATTATTTAATACTTATTAAATAGATTTACATATCAATAATATATAAATAGGTACACTAATGAGCAACATACTTCAGCAAATCAGAGGAGCTTGCCTTAAGGTAGAAGGGTCACTTGAGATGTGTTTATTATAACATTCAACGCCAACAGATTTAAGCTATGTGCAAATGTAATTCCAAGAAGTGTGATATGAAAAAAGGAAGACTAGAGCTAGAGGAACAGCCCTGGGTTCAAGACCCCATCTACACTTTGTAGCCGTATGACTGTAGGCAAGTCCTTTCTTTCACCTCCTCACAAAGCTGTGGGGGATAGCACTAGGAAGAACTGGCAAACACCACAGAAATGTGTCTTCTTATTACTGCTATTAATTCACCATTAAGTCATCGGACAGCTATTACAAACAGTTACCTGTGGTTTCCAACAAGAATGTTCCGCTGGGGGATTGGGACAAACAGGTGCAGTGATGTCATAGCAAAACAATTTATTTACTGTAAACTTTAGACTTTGCTCATTCAACAGCAGAAGCTGCCCCCTCTGTGTCCCTGCCTCCAACTGCCCATGTGAGCAAATAAGAGGAGGAGACAAATCCATTGACAGCCAGGTCCAGCTGGAGCATCCACAAGGCCCTGGGGGAAGGCCTGCCCCTCCAGAGAGATGTCCCAAGTAGAAGTATGCTAAACCTAATACTTGACAAATGAGGTAGGTCTATGAGAAAGCCATCCAAACTAGATCCAGGTCCTCAAGGCCTGAGACCCTGGAAGTGGACATACACTTCAAACTCCATTCCAGGCAGAACCCAACCGTTACAGAAGTGAGGAATCCCTAGAACCGGGGTGGGGGGTTAGTTGTTCTGTTTCCTGATAATTTAAAAACAATAAATAACCTAAAACTGTCCTTCTCCCTCCTGCCCATCTCTCTATAGGCTGACTAGACATTTCTAGCTCATGAGTTAGAGTAGGCTTAGTGTTTGGGGGTTTGTGATGAGTTGTTTTTGCTGGATTTTTTTTTTGGTTGTTGTTCTTTAAAAAATTGTTTCTTTCTTTTTCCCCACCTTGCTCGGTTTGCTGAGGGTTTTTACCAACCAGAGAGACAGTCACAAGGGGGTATCATCCAGAGTCTGATCCTGGCTCTCTAAGCCGGCGCTAGCGTTAGGCACAGTACCTGTACAGTTCAAAAAGCCCTCAGTGCCTGGGAGGTCTTCATACAGCAGCTCCATCTCCTTCTCCTGTTCAGTGGGATAGCTCCCATGCTCCCCATTGGGCTCGCTCCTCCCGTTGCTGTTGCTGGAGTGGCCATTGCCATAGAGCTTCAGGGCTGACCTCCTGAAACAGAGGAGCTCCTGAAAGGCATACCTGAAGTCGGGACTCCGACAGTAGATCAGCGGATTGAAGGCTGAGTTGGAGTAGCCCACCCAGTTCAGAAAAATGTACACATATTTGGGGACAGTGTTGTCCTGTATTGCATGGACAATGTTGACAATGAAGAAAGGCAGCCAACAGAGGGTAAAAGTCCCCATGATTATACCCAAAGTCTTCAGAGCTTTATGTTCCTTCAAACAGAACTTGGAAGACCTTCGGTGACTTGTCCTTCCATTCTGCTCCATCTGGCTGCTGTTCTGGACATGAAAGCGGCCCTCAGATTTATCAATCTTCTGAAGTTGCTTCTTGGCCACCTGGAAAACCCGGGAGTACACAAACACCATGATCACTAGAGGCACGTAAAAGGACACGATAGAGGAAGCAATGGCATAAGCCTGGTTAGTGAAGAAGTCACAGCAGGTCTCCTCCTCGTAGCACAAGAGAGCTTCCTTGTGGCTGGCACGATACCAGTGCATCTGAATGGGCAGGAAGGAAGTGAGGGCCGATACCACCCAGACCACTAAGATGACCACCCTGGCCTTGCTCTTGGTAAGCAGACTCTGGTACCGAAAGGGTGCTGTGATGGCGAAGTAGCGGTCCACAGCAATAACACAGAGGGTCTCGATGCTGGCTGTGACACACAGAACATCAATGGAGGTCCAGAACTCACACCAAAAGTTCCCGAAGGTCCACATTTCCATGAGGATGTGACTGGCACCAAAGGGCACCACGGCCAGCCCCATAACCAGGTCAGCACAAGCCAGTGATGTGATGAAGTAGTTAGTGACAGTCTGCAAACGCTGGAACCTGGCGATGGCTGTGATGACCAGCACGTTGCCAAAGACAGTGGCCAGGACTATGATGGACATGACAATGCCCAAGCCCACCACCCACGCTTCACTCTTCTGAGCGGTGGTGTTCAGAAAGGTGTGGCTCAAGTTGGCGGACATGGCCCCCCAAGTGTCCCCCCCGGGGGGCGGGGCCGTCCCAGGAGGTCCGCAAGCCTTGACTGAGAATGCCCCGCTGCCAATCTCTTCTTGGCAGGGGCTCAGCTCCCTGAGAGTCCCAAGCAACTGCTGGCCCGACAAGGGCCCGTCATTCAGCCTCCGTAAGGTGCACAGATCTGCCAGCAACGGAGGGAAGGAGGAAAGCAGGGCGCGCCCTGGTCTGCTGGTCTGAGCTCAGGAACAGCGAACAGCGGCAGCTCCTCCGAGCGAGCGCGCAGACTGCAAGTGCTCCGAGCCCGCTATGCGCCCGGGACTTCAGAACTTCGGTTGTCCTCCGTCCAGCCTCCGTCCCATGACGTTAGGTTACTTTCGGCCAATGGTGTGAGGGGGACCCCGCCCCCCCCCCCCCCCCCCCCCGCTGCTGGAAGCCCTGGCCCGCCCCCGGAGCCGCACCTTATTCTGGGCTCGCAGAATGTGGAAGCTCTGGGCGCTGGGTTTCCGCGGGAGCCCCAGGGGGTGCAGCGCTGCCTGCCCTGGCATTGCAGACTGGCCGTCCCCCTGGTAGTCAGCAGAACCCAAGAGAGACACACTTGCAATGAGACACGGCAGACTGCAGAGAGACAGTCACGTACAAAGAAAGGCACAGGCATACTGAGAAAGTCACTGGTGCACACGGACACAGACATCCAGAGAGAGAGAGAGACCGAGGCAGACATAGGGACCCAGGCCCACACGATGAAGACACGAGAACACCGAGTAACCCTAATTATGTAACAATAATACTTAGATACACACAGACACGGACATGCAGACACATGGGTACGCGCACAGAGACAAGAGTTGTAAACATTGGCACAAAGGCACAGTTGCACACAGAGACCTACAGGCAGTGAGTGACACACGGACGAAGAAACAAACACTCACACAGGCTCAAGCACACTTCTTTTGGATTAATTGAAAAACTGAAGTCTGGTAGTCAGTCGTCAATCAACAAACCCTTAAGCACTGTGCTAGGCAAGGAGGATACAAAGAAAGACAAAAGAAGTCGTTGCCCTCAAGGAGGTCAAATTTTAATGAGGGCAGCAACACACAAACAACGAGATATGTAGGAGATATATACAAGGTAGCTGAAAGGTAGGTAGTCTAAGAGAGGGACAGGGAAAGGCTTCTTGCAGGTGGGGTTTTAGTAGTAGAAAGACAGTGAAATCCCTTTTTAGGAGGACACATATCATTTGTCTTAATCTCCATGGTCATTGGTTGGGCATGTAATGTTACATTTCTTTTTCATTCTTAGGCTCACACATTTAGACCTCAGGGGTCACATCTAGATCTTCCTTTCATTTTACAGAGGAGGAATCAACCTTCTTTCATGAAGAAGTGACTCATTACAAAGTCTTGGGCAGTGAATAACAGAGACAGAATCTGAACCCTCTTCCTCTTATTCCAAATCCAAGGCTCACTCCACTGCACCCCACTGAGTCCCAGAGAATTAGGTTTGTTTTCTTTTTCTTCTGTTTCTTTTTTAGAGAGTGGAAGAGTTGAAGGTGGGACAGGGGACCCAGAAAAACATCTTGTTTATTTTTAATGCAAAAGACATCATTTTTCTAGCCCGATTTCATTTTCAAGTGAGAATACTTCAGGTTTCAAGGTTGATTATCAGATTTATTGTACTCTCACCCCCCTGATTTACACACACACACACACACACACACACACACACGTGCATTAGCATGAGAGTCTACTCTGAACATCTGCACATAGTCACATGGAGCAAATGTCAAAGCTTAGCAGAGATCAGAGGGTGCCCACCTGCATTTGCAGAGGGAGTTCCCCCATCGGGGAGTTCCCTACACCAATGAAATCACAGGGTCACAGGATCATAGATAGGTTCAGTGTTAGAAGGAACCTTAAAGGTCATCAATCAAGCTCAACTCCTTCACTGCACAGATGTGAATTGAAGCCCAGAGAGGTTAAGTCACTTGTCTAAGGTCACAAAGGTAGTAAATGGCAGAGCCAGGAACTGAAAAGAATAAAGGTACTCCGTAACAATAGCTGGTGTCTAAGGCTTTACAAATTACCTTACATCCACTGTCTAATCCTCATAACAATCTTATAAAGTAACTATTATTCCCCCCCTTCCTTTTTTTTCTAGGTGGGGGAATTGAGGCTGAGAAAAATTAAATGATTTTCCTGAAGTCACAAAACTAATTAGTAGCACAGTCAGAACTTGAACTCAGGTCTTCTAACTTCAGATCCCAGGCTCTTTTCACTATCTGACATTGGTAGCTATGTAACAACAATTTTCATTTATTCCACATTTGATGATTGTGAATCACCCTGTATCCATTGTCTTCTTCGATCCCTGCAGCACGGGGATGACATCAGAAGCAGCATGTATAATAGCCCTGAAAGCAAGGGAATGCAAGTGTTATGCCCATTTTCCAGACGAGGAAACTGGGAAACTAAAGCAGAAAGAAGGTCTGGACAACAGCTAAGCTGTGATAGACCTAGAACTTGAATTCATGTCTCCCAGCACCGGGTCTAGCATCACACCCAATCCTGCCTTTCTCCAAATGGTGTAACATGAAGTTCCTTGCACAGCCACAGTAGATACTTTCCAAAGACGTTGGAGTTTATTAGAGGCAGAGTGAGGTAGCAGAGAGTTGACCTAGAAAGATCTGGGTTCAAGTCCTGCCACTGATACATACTGGTTGTATGACCCTGGGCAAGTCACTTAACATCTCAATGTTCTAGACAACTCTCTAAGACTAGAAACTGCTAAAATGGTGCCCACCGGTGCATTTGGAGAGGAAATCTCATCTGGGTGCTCCCTATACCAATGAAATTGAAGATCTGTCTACCCCTGTTGGTCTTATTATCTGGCTCAAGTGCATGTGTATTGAAACAAATTTCCTTAGGGTATTTAGCAAAATCAATTCAGTAGATTATTCATGTGGGTGCTTAATCCAGCGCAAACTGGTCAAGCAGTCTTCACCGACACACACATTAATGTTCACAAGAATATCCTACAGTGGTCACCTAATCTAAATGGTTTGATTTATAAATGAAGAAACTGAGGTACTGAGAGCCTCCTCGGCTTGTCCAAGATCACATGGGTACTAAGTAGTAGAGCTGAAATTCAAACCCAGGTCCTCTGACTACAAATTCAGGGCTCTTTCCATTGTACCACACTGCCTCCCAGAGGGAGGGGAGGAGAAGAGAGGAAAGGCAGAAATGTAAGTAGATTTAGAGCTGGAAGGGATCTTAAAGGTCTTCTCCAACCCCCTCATTTTACAGATGAGGAAACTGAGACCTAAAGAGCTTAAGTGTTTTGTTCAAGTTTGCGCAGATAAGTCCCCCAGCTGCTAGTTCCCTTCTTCTATTCTTTGTGAGTGTGTAGATAAAATATCTGTGTGTGTGTGTGTGTGTGTGTGGTGTGTGTGTGTGTGTGTGTGTGTGTGTGTATTCAGAGATTATCTCCTCCACTGAGCTTGTACACTCCTTAAGGACAGGCTGTTTCCCTTTTGTCTTTGCAGCCTCAACACTTAGCACAGCCTTGCAGTCAATAAGCCTTTCCTAAACGCTGTTTGAGGGATAGTAAGTGGCAGAGTCAGGGTTTGACCCCGGGGCCTGTGGCTCCAAATTCAGAACTCCAGCCACTGGACCCCGCTGCAGTCTGTCTTCCAGGAGCAGAGTTGAGAAACACAGTGTTATTGGCAGGCAGCGACGCCTGTTTGCACAGCTGTTATAAATCAAGAAATTGTATGAATCAATGCAATAGCTATTTATTGAGAACATAGTGTGTGTACGTGTTGTAGTTGAAAGAGGACTGGATTTGGAGGCAGATGACTTGGGTTTGAGTCTTAAGTCAGGCTCCCTTCCAGCCCTGTGATCTTGCACAAGTCACTTCTACTCTCTGGACCTCGGTTTCCTCGATTATAAAATGAGGGAAACGCACTCACTCCGTTTTCTCGAAGGGCCCTTCTAGTCCAAAATCCTGTGATATATAAAATATGGCTAAGTTTGCACAATGTGCATACCACATTCTTGCATTTCCCCATTGAGTTGTAACGGGATGGATTGGAGGAATTAATGATGTTCGTCTTGCAACACCGTTTCCTTAAAAAATGTAGTTCAGTCTCTCATTAGTTTTCCTCTGGTTTACCGCAGCAACTTAATAGTAAAACTTGCTGCCTCCCTCCTTGCAAATCCAACCAGGTGTCTAGCAAATCTAATCAAGAGAGTTTTAAAATAAAAAAGAGCGGGGGAGAGAAACAGCTGCTTATGTGTACAGAGGCAACTAAGGGGCACAGGAGTTAGAGCCTTAGAATCAGGAGGACCTGAGTTCAAATCCAGCCTCAGACGTAGTTGTGTGACCCTGGGCAAAAGCACCTTGACCTCTGTGTGATTCGGTTGCCTCAACTCTAAAACGGGAATAATAACAGCACCTGGCTTCTAGGGTTGTTGTGAGTATAAAATGAGATAATGTTTTTAAGTACCTTGCAAACCTTGAAGTGCTATATACGCTCTATTATTATTTTTTTTATTATCATATTGCCTTAAATTAGATACTATGTAGAGAATAATAACAAAGAAGAAGGAGGAATAGAAGCTGAGGCACCCAAGACACTATTCAGGAAAAGTTCCAGTAATAAAGCCCATGGCTGCAAATGTCTAGATGCAAATGTCTGAACTTGAAATAACAAACAAGAAAACCCATGGGTCCTAATTCAGTGGGAAAAATAGACATCAGAGACATCACCGAGCCTGGGATGAAATCCATGACTGGGCCACAATTCTGGATGCACATTCCTTATTCAAAAGGAACAAAGTAGCTAAAGTGTGTGGTGGGGAGGGGAGGGAGCGTTAGGAAGAGTAGCAATGTACATTGGGAAGGCATACTTATGTGAGGCAGTGCAGGAATCAGTGGGGAAAAGTGATGGAGAGTATCTGCATAATGGTCAGTAGTGTCAGGAATGCTAAAGTTCAGAATGAGTTGACTGGCAAAGGTAGCTAAGGACAGCAAAAAAGGTTGTTGCTGATATTATTTTTAGCTGTAATAGGATGAAATAGAGGATGGGATAAGTGATAGGACACTTTTTCTTGGTGTGGATGGGAAGATGATAGCTGACAATTGAGAGAAGAATGACCTTTACATTTGAAATAACAGGGAAAAAAAACCCAAAAGACTAACAGGGAATTGACTGATACTCAAGATAAGGAAAGAGATAGCAAGAAAGTACTGGCTGCCCTTGATAAATTCAAGTCACCCTGCCCAGATGAACTGTACCCGAAGCTACTGAAATAATTGGCAGGTATGATTGCTGACCC